ACCGGAGACGAAGTCTATTGAAAATGACTGAATCCGACGAACAGGGCTTTCGTAATTATGTTCAATATACTCGTATCTCGACAAAAGGCTGCAAAATCAAGTTTTATACTAGCCTTGATGACCCTCATGAATTTTATAATTATAGGGTCTCATTGGACCCTAGCCCCTATACAATGCCTCCTTCAAAATTTGACTTAAATGTCCACAATTTTATTCAACAATAAATGGCTTAAGTATATCTGAGGCAAGGTACAATTCAACATAAATGCTTTATTATGAAAACTAAATCACATTTTATTTTTGTATCAGGTGTAGGGTATTATATGGTGGGCCCCACCCGACTATAACTTCTTACTTGTTTATTTTTTATTTATTTGTCGACTAGTATTTTCATAATTCGTTCTTACCTGTCATACCACCACCATCTTCATTAACAATATGAAATTTTGTGAAAGTTTAATTTATTCATCACTTAAGCTTACACACACACACACATACCAACATTCAACTCAAACACAGACAACATATACCATTACTACCATGATTATCGACAACAACATCATCATTGATCCAATTAAAAAGTTTATTAATATGATAATTATTGGTATATTATAAACATGTCTCGTGCAGAATGATATTTGAATTTTAAATATTTATTATCAATTTCAATTATTGTTGTTTTTTTTTTTTTTTTGCTTTTACTATCTCTATGAAAATTACAAAATTTAAATTTTGATTTTGTATTAATTTTATAGTAAAGAGATTAAATATCTATAAACATAATCCTGTACTCCCACATGCACAGCAATCATTTCAACCTCACAAAACGGAAATATGAAAATTTGTATGTAATTTAAGCTTAGATACAATAAACCAGAAAAAAAAGAACGTTTGCATAAACTAACACCGGAAATAAAACAGCCTCCATAAGTATAGAGTGTATTTATTATTTGGTAAATTTGTGGCTGTGTGTATGTGGGCGTATGTTTTTGGGGATAAGTGTGTGTGTGTGTGTATGTTGTTGATACTTCCTTTTTTTTGTAACGAGTGCATTAGAAAACTAAAACTGTTTTAGTTTAGCTTTTTGAAATTTTTTTGTTTTGTCTGTAATTTATATTGTTATTTGTTTTTTTTTTTTTGTTTTGTACAGCTTTATACATAAGTATTTATATAATTTTAAATATTTTTTTTGCTATTTTTACATTTGTGTTTTGTAGTTTTAGTTTCCCCTTAAAATTATGAAAACTATTTGCAGATGTTTAGTTTTGTGGTCGGTCTACAGGTATATTCAAATTATTATTACAGTTGGAGAAATGCAACTGGGAATTAATATAAAATTTTCGTATTCGTATTAGAAATTTAACGAATACGTTAAATAGATATATTTTAAAAGAAGATTGTTCGATCAAGCCTGCCCATATCATAACCCGCCTACCCCTTGGAATTGTAGGCAATTATGGACCTATCTTAAAAAATGCAATAATATAATTTTTAAACATAAACAATCACGCATTTTTAAGAATTTATAATTATGATAATCATTTTTACACCAGAAATTTCTCTCAGTAATTTGAAAGCATTTTATCTATATTTGACCATAAAATGCATAACATATTAAATGCAAAAGTTTTTAGACAAATTCGAGTTAAAAATAAAAAATAAATTCAAAACTACAGATATTTACATGGGCATAGACATTCAAAATATCTCACCACCATACTTTAACCTAAGCAAACAAATTCCTAAAGGCCTTAAGAATTATTTTCACTCGATGTCGTATTGGACTAGGAAATATGAATATAAATATTTAATTTGTATTAGAAAACAGAACAGATGACTTTCAGATGTTTGGCTGGAATAAAAATCTCATCCTGCTATGCTCTAAAGGTAGGGCCTGTAATTATAAGGCCTTTAAGCCCACAGACAAACAAAAACCTTAGTTATAGAATAACGTTTGTACTCACTCACTGGTTGTATTATAAAAAAGGAAATCATTTGAGATACAAAAAGGAAAGATTATTTTGTAAATAGAACAAAACCCAGGTGCAAATTGCTACAAATGAATAATTTGTGTTGAATATTCAGCTATGTTTTGTTAGTTTTTTTTCTGTTTCTAAAATGTTGCAATTGAAATCAAACAAAGTATATCCATTCCTCTACAATGAGCAAGCAGTAGAAGAAGTTACAATGAATTGGTTTGGTGGAGGCCTGATTATGAAAATACATACAAACAAACAGATATGTGGCATAACACTATGCCGTTGTTACGCTAAATTGTGTTGCATATTTTCTATTATACTGCGATAGAGCTGAAGGTATGGCAACATTAAAAAGTAATTGTGGCTAAAAATCATTTGAAAGCCATTTGCCAAATTCATGTAACACTAGATTTAAATGAGAAAATTCTACATAGGCGATAATGCAAAAATCTTTTATGGTGCTCTCTTTTTTTTTGTAATGCTTTAGCAATAGTTTATAGTGCAGCTATGAGTACGTGCAATAAAAAAATAAATTAAAAAAATTACATACAAAACTAATATTAAATGGGCTATTACATTAACAGTTAAACATCGTGCTGAGCTAAGAATATGTGAAAAGAAATACTCATATGTGTAAAACGAAAAGCTGCTTTTAAGTGCCTATATTAAAGGGAAATGTTAAGATCTTCCAAATACATTCATAGCTAGGTATATTTTTGATCGAATGCTGAATAGATTAAAAACAACTTTCACTTATAACAATGATTTATTGGTAATGGGTATGCTAATATTACCATATTAATCCATTACTTTGTAATGTAAGTTTTTACTGGGTATGTAGTGTTGGTGGTGTCATAGTTTGGGGAGCAATTTCCTATTATGGCACCTTTGAGCATCAGTTTTTAAGCTCAAGAATAAATGCATTGGGTTAATAAAAAAAAGGCTTTTTTCGATTCTCAATGACCTATATCGCCCTGATCCACACTGCCCGGATCGTAAAATCTTATATAGAGTTCCATAATGTTGAATTGTTGAGCTGGCCTTCATATTCACCAGACTTAAACATTATAGAAAACTTGTGGGAATGGGTTGCCCGAGTCTGGAAAACAGTATTCAACAATTCCTGAACTAATCTATGCAATTAAAGATCTCTGGAGCTCAGTAGAACTAAATTACATGGAAAAGTTATATAAATCACTTCCATACAGGATTTGTGAAGTGTTAGTCAATCAAGGTGGTTCAACACATTACTAAAATAGCTTAGTTTAATTTATATCGTTTACGGTTAATTTGCAAAAAAAAAATTATACAAAATCAAATATTATAGATATGACAACCATTCGCATCACATTTTATTCAGAACAAAAAATATTATAATGAGGAGAAAAAACAAGTTTCCAGAAATTCCTAATCCAAAAATATAAGCTTTGAAAAAAATTATGTAGGTGCTATTCAAGGGGCGAGGAGTGTAAATGTATAGTTGCTTAAAACATAAGTTTATTAAATTTTTAATAGATTCAATCAATTTTTTAATTATCTAAAATTTTTTTGATTTCTATACCCTTCACCTTCGTGAGAAGGGTATATATAAGTTTGTCATTCCGTTTGTAATTTCTATAATATAATTTTCCGACCCTATAAAGTATATAAATTCTGGATCCTTATAGATAGCGGAGTCGGTTAAGCCATGTCCGTATATATATGTCCGTCTGCCTTTCTGTCTGTCTGTCTGTCTGTCTGTGTGTCAGATGAAATCAATTTTCTGAAGACCCCAGATATCTTCGGGATACACATCTGCAATAATTCTGTCAGATATGCTTTCGAGAAGTTTCCTATTTAAAATCAGCAAAATCCGTTCATAAATAACGGAGATATAAGATATAATATTAATTTAATAATTGAAATCCATTTTCAATTTTTGTTTTTATTTTAATATAATACATATTACATTTGTATACTACATTATGTTTTCAAAATTTTCTTTCTGCATGTTTATTTAAAATATGAAAAAATAAATAAAACAATTTAATAATTTATGCCACAACTCCTCTTATTTAAAAAGGATTGTTTTTAATAAAAAGAGAAAAAAGAGGAGCAATAATTTTTGTGACATGTTTCTATTTACACGAGGGATTCTCTAGCTAGTGCTACTGATGATGTATGTATGTTGTGTCAACAGCTGTTGCCATTTGTCGGTCGGTTGATATAAGTTTTATTGAAATTTTAGTGTGTCTAAATTACAGAGCCTTAAAACTATGAAAATAATACTGACTGCAAACTAAGTGTTAAAAAATTAAACTTAACATAACATTTTTACTACTTGTTAAAAGTGTCACATTACAAATATTTAAAACAAATTTCTAATGATCTAATTTTTTTCTTATAATTCACACACTTTTAAATCTCTGATATCTACTGCAACAACTTATGGTTGAACATAAACTCTTCTTTTTTGACAATAATTTCTGCCTATTTCTGTTAGATTATGCATACTTGTCGTCCAGTTTGTCATCAATGTTCCACTTTTTTTTTATCCGTGCGTTTGTGTATGGAGATAGGTTTCGGTTCGTTTATGCTAATTTCGAAATTTACACCATGATACTTATTTTGCAAAACGTGTAACGATGTTTGTCATGTTTTATGCTCACATGAGTTTTAAGTCGAAAAGTTGAAAAACGAATTGAATATTAAATAATGTTAATGTGGGAAATCATAACTTGTTACTCGCAATTTTTAGATTTGTTGATGGGGAGGAAATAAATCTAGATAATGTATGTATTGAAAACAAAATGATATAAAGCATAAATCGAGTTTGGAAAAACATGTTGTTAATTTGTTTAACACCCTACAGATTTAGGTTTTTGAATAAATTTTAATAATGTTTTTATGAAATTATAAATTTGGAGATTTTACAAGGGTTGGATTAGAATAACAAATTCGTAATCTAAAATGATTATATGTAAAATTTAAAATGATTTTCGCGTTTTTCTGATTTTATTTAATTAAACTTTATCTCTACAGATTTATACAACAACTAATTTAATTACACAAAAAGATGACATGTCTTCCATTGAGACTTCACAACGTAGGTCCTGTCCATCGTCAAAACTACATCTCTTTAATTTTTTTCAATTGGATCAGCAGTTTAGAAAATGTTGGTTTCGGTATGCCATTTCAAGTTACGTATTACGTATGATTAATATTTAATTTGTATATTGAATTATTTAACACGTATACGACACATACAAATACTTAAAGTGATTATAATTATATATTATATTAAATCCTTATATCCTAAATTGTTGCCTAGATACTAGGGTGATCGACTCGATTTTTCAACCGGTTTTAAAACCGGTTTTTTCTGCTTTACCAGTGTCGGTTTTTTCTTAATGTTGATTTTTCGAATATCAAATAACCCGGTTTTTTCACTTTTTAAAAACCGGTTTCGAATACTTTTATTTGCTTTGTATTCAAAGATTATTTAAATGAAATTTTTAAGTAAATAATAATACAGCCCGTCTAAATTTTAAAAATATTCGAGTCGAGGAACTAGCGTATATTTTTCTACAGCTCCTTTGGTTAAAATTTTTTGATTTTCCTAATTAATTAAAAAAAATTATTTGTAAAATTGATAACTGTTTGATAAAATTTTATCAATCTTAAGATTATATTCCAATTACCATAATTAATTTACGGCTGAAATTTTATGGAAGTGTTGGAATGTCTATGCAAATTTCCTAAACAGGGCTTTTAAAATAAGCTAGGATTACATAGTACCTTATGTTTAACAGAAGTGTCCACTTTTTTCCTAATTTTTTTATATTAAAGAAATAATGTAAATCAGACGACTACACCATTTCAAGTTTAATTTGAGAAAATCCAAAGTTATATTGTGAAACACCAAAATGACTTTTAGAAATCCAATTTAATATTGAGACATACCAAATTAAATTTAGGAATCAAAATTGATATGAAGAAAAAACAAATTGAAATTTGAATTTTCAACTTAATATTGAGAAAAAACCAATTGATATTGAGAAGTCGAAATTAATATTGAGATAATACGAATTGAAATTGACAAAAAACAAAATGATATTAAGAAAACTTAATTTTGTATCGAAATTTATATTATTTTAAATACATATCCTATTTAAACATTTTATAAGAAAAATATTTGCATACAAATTTTAAATTTCTCATTTTCATTTATTAATTTCTCAATTTCAATTTGAAATTTCTTAATATAATGTTGGGATTCTGAATTTCAATTTGTTTTTTCTCGATATGAATTTGCATTTCTTAATTTAATTTTATTATTTCTCAATATTAGTTTGGATTTCTCAATTTCAAATGGGGTTTTCTCAATATTAATTTAAATTTCTGAACTTTAATTTGAATTTTCTAAATTTTAAATTGAAATTCTCAATATGAGTTTGTATTTTCTCAATTTAAACTTGAAATGGTAGATCTAAAGTTATAATCTTTTAAACTGTTAAAAATCATTTCGGGCCATGTTTTATTAATCAAATTTAAACATAAACATTAAGTATTTCAAATTAAAATATGTTTTTTTTATTTATAATGAAAAACCGGTTAACCGGTTTTTTCTGAATTTGAAAAATATCAACCGGTTTTTTTTAAATGTCAACTATTCGAACTATTCGAAAACCGGTTTTTGGAAAAAGTCGAATAATCGATCACCCTACTAGATACGCAATATTTTAAATTATAATTTTCATTAAAATTGCAAAAAAAAAGTTTTAATTAATTCAAGTTTGTAATACACATTTTTAATTCTAATACACTTTTAATTCTTATATTAAATAACTTTGCATTTATCAAATTGATTAACTAATTAAGAAACTGAAATAACTTTTTATGTATTATATTAGGCTAGCTCTTGAAAAAAAAATTGATTTACCATGGAAAATCCAAATTTAAAGCTAAGATTAACAACACGGAGAAAACATTTTCAATTGCAACGGTTAATCAAATGAAGTAACCGAACCTGAACTAAAAATTTATGAAAACTTGATAAGTTTTGTCTGCAATTTTATAAAATAGATATAAAAAGTTATTATAATAAGTGGCTTTAACCGTAAACTAAATTTAAAAATAAAATTGAATATTCTTTTCAATAAGTCATGACACTCACACCACCTGCACTTACATATTTCCCAGTACAACAATTATATGCGGTAATTAAGTAATTTTAAATTCTTGACATATACGAAAAACAACAACTAACAAAGTTAATCAGGCAGGACAAAAAATACTCTACAAACTAATTTTCAATCAATGGCATATGATTTATATTTTTATGTTTTTATTAACTAGGTTTGTTAATACCATATAGTTATGATTTAAAAAAGCCTGACCCATTATCAATATTATCCTTTTATTAAAAAAATACAAAAAATAAAATCCTACTTTTAACATTGTTTACATACATCTACTTCATTATTTATATACATTTTCATACTCTTATGAATTAGTATCTGTGAATGCATTTAAAATTCATAAGAGTTTGTAAATAAAGGATTTTATTCATATCGACAGACATATAACATTAGGGTGGCCTCAAAGTTAAAGCTGCTGTTGTTCTCAACTAAAATAAATGCTTGTTTTAATCTACCATGAGCAAACAAAAAGAATTGTTATCTTAGTTATCTTTATATTTTGGGTCCATCCTAGTAAACATACATAAATATCAACTTTATAGAGATTCAGTACCATATTCGGAATCACTGGCATGAAAAACTGCACCAACACAAAAACGTAGAGATTTTCACATAAAATATATTTTATACCTAAGAATTATGTAAATATATATGTTTATTAGGGTTTTATTTTTATTTATTTTTATATGTTAAAAGAATATTTTTGAAATTTCGTGGAATATATCTGCACTCCTTGAAATTTATATATGTACATGAAGTACTGAGTATTATCTGTTCATATATAAATCAAAATTTCGCAATTCAATAAAATGTTATCGCAACAGCGAGAATACTACAGTAAACTTTATGATTTGCGTTTGATTATCGGCTTCTTGATCCAACTGAAATATGCTTCGTAAATTTAAATTGTACCTGGGACAATTGTAGACCGATCTTAAGATAATTTGATAGAGCAAGGCAGAACATTTCAATATGTCGTGGGATTGAGGAGAGGCATAACAAACAAACAAACAAACAAACAACAAACAAACAAACAAACAAACAAACAACAACAAACAAACAACAAACAAACAAACAAACAAACAAACAAACAACAAACAAACAAACAAACAAACAAACAAACAAACAAACAAACAAACAACAAACAAACAACAAACAACAAACAAACAAACAAACAAACAAACAAACAAACAAACAAACAAACAAACAAACAAACAAACAAACAAACAACAAACAAACACAACAAACAAACAAACAAACAAACAACAAACAAACAAACAAACAAACAACAAACAAACAAAACAAACAAACAAACAAACAAACAAACAAACAAACAAACAAACAAACAAACAACAAACAAACAACAAACAACAAACAAACAAACAACAAACAAACAACAAACAAACAAACAAACAAACAACAAACAAACAAACAAACAAACAAACAAACAAACAAACAAACAAACAAACAAACAAACAAACAAACAACAAACAAACAAACAAACAAACAAACAAACAAACAAACAAACAAACAAACAAACAAACAAACAAACAAACAAACAAACAAACAAACAAACAAACAAACAAACAACAACAACAAACAAACAAACAAACAACAAACAAACAACAAACAAACAAACAAACAAACAAACAAACAAACAACAACAACAACAAACAAACAAACAAACAAACAAACAAACAAACAAACAACAAACAAACAAACAAACAAACAAACAAACAAACAACAAACAAACAAACAAACAAACAAACAAACAAACAAACAAACAAACAAACAAACAAACAACAAACAAACAAACAAACAAACAAACAAACAACAAACAAACAAACAAACAAACAACAAACAAACAAACAAACAAACAAACAAACAAACAAACAAACAAACAAACAAACAAACAAACAAACAAACAAACAAACAAACAAACCAACAAACCAAACAAACAAACAAACACAAACAAACAAACCAACAAACAACAAACAAAACAAAACAAACAAACAAACACAAACAAACAAACAAACAAACAAACAACAAACAAACAAACAAACAACAAACAAACAAACAAACAAACAAACAAACAAACCAAACAAACAAACAACAAACAAACAAACAACAAACAAACAAACAAACAAACAAACAAACAAACAAACACAAACAAACAAACAAACAAACAAACAACAAACAAACAAACAAAACAACAACAAACAAACACAAACCAACAAACAAACAACAAACAAACAACAAACAAACAAAAACAAAAAAACAAACAACAAAACAAAAAAAAAAAAACAAACAAACAACAAACAAACAACAAAAACAAACAACAACCACAAACAAACAAACAACAAACAACAAACAAACAAACACAAACAAACAAACAAACAACACAAACAACAACAAACAACAACAAACAAACAAACAAACAAACAACAAACAAACAACACAACAAACAAACAACACAAACAAACAAACTAACTAACTAACTAACTTGGAAAATAATCTTTTTGTGCTGTGCAACGCAGGAAATTTTTGCGAGTCGTAAAGTAACTAAGTAACTAAGTAACTAAGTAAGTAACTAACTAACTACTACTAACTAACTAACTACTAACTAACTATAACTAACTAACTAACTAACTAACTAACTAACTAACTAACTAACTAACTAACTAACTAACTAACTAACTACTAACTAACTACTAACTAACTAACTAACTAACTACTAACTAACTAACTAACTAACTAACTAACTAACTAACTAACTAACTACTAACTAACTAACTAACTAACTACTAACTAACTAACTACTAACTAACTACTAACTAACTAACTAACTAACTAACTAACTAACTAACTAACTAACTAACTAACTAACTAACTAACTAACTAACTA